ACCAGAGCTATAACAGAGCCGACTGGGATGTTTTCCTCCACGGTATTCTTAAGAGATTTTATGGTTATCTCGGGATAGTTATCGTTCATATCCTTAACATACACAGTCACTCTGCATTGACCGGAGAGAGGAACGGGGCCATTGTCTTTAGCCTCAAGAAACATCTCAAATATTTTCAGATCTTCATAATCAATGGTGCCCTTAACTGCAATTTCGCCAGTTTTTGAGTTCAGCCAGAACATCTCCTGCGTTTTCTCAGAAGTGTAAAGCGTAAATGAGTATGTAAGGTTAGCGTTTGGGCCTTCATCAGCATCAGTAGCGTTTAATTTAATAACAACAGTACCGGCTGGAGAATTTTCGCTAATATTCAGAGAATAAACTGCCTGATCAAACTGAGGGGCGTTGTCATTTGTATCTTGGACGCGCACAATAATACTAGCTGTGCCCGAGCGCGCAGGGACTCCGCCATCGATTGCAGTGAGTATCAGATTATGAACAGCCTTCTTCTCCCTATCTAAAGCCTTCATGAGAACCAAATCGACATATTTTGTACCGTCACTACCAGAATGTATATCAACAGTGAAATGTTCACTTTCACTTAATTTATAGGTCTTGACTGTATTGGCACCAACGTCTGGGTCAAAGGCATTGGGCAAAGAAAATCTTTCCCCCGGTGTTGCGGACTCTGAGACATCCAATTCAATCTTATCTCGCCGGAAATGAGGAGCATTATCGTTAATGTCTGTGATTCCCAATTCAATATTGAAAATACGCAATGGGCTTTCAATTATTAGGTCTAATTTTAAAAAGCACGTCATAGTTTTCGTATTACAAAGAGATTCCCTGTCCATCTTCTCAACAATAAATAAATCGCCAGTTCTTTTATTAATATCAAGATATTTGTTGTTATGGAAAATATCAAGTTTTACCTCTCGCTGTGCTAGTCCACTAACATCCAGCCCTAAATCAGCGGCTAGATTTGCAACGACTGACCCGCGCTCCATCTCCTCCGGTATGGAATATCGCGTGACAGACAAAGCCGTTTCCCATGTTGCCCACAGTGCAAAGAAAAACGCAACCCACTGTCCAACTGGCTTCATCATTAATTCCAGCAAAAGACACAAAATCACTCAGAAAAGA